TAACTACCTAAACAAAGGATCTCATTCCACAGAGAGTCCATGCAAAAGTTTGGCTAGTTATCTAAGAGAGATAAGGCATGTCTTGATCCTTATCATGGAGGACCTATGACAAACAATCCTCAATTCGGGCTGTTCTGTGTAAATTTTGATTGGGGAATGATTCACACCACAGAACAGCCCGAAGTAGGATACCTATCAATAGGTACAGATTAGTTGTTGACAAAAGCTTTGGATGTTTTTTTGGGAAGTAAAAGAAAATAAGTTTTAAATGAACTAACACAAAATGACGCTCCATGTTATACCTGTTAAAAATAAACACCCTAATAAAGGAGACTTGATTGGTTTTATTAAGATCCCAAAACCACCCAACTTATAGAGATGAAAATCGAGATAATGTGCCAACACTGATACACAAAAGAAACACCGTTTCCAAATAAATATATGGAACCCTTATTAGTGTAATAACCAAAGGGAGATGCAATGCTGAGTTTCTTCCTGAGGACAAGAAAATAATTTGTTTAGAATGGCATCGAGTGTAGCTTTGTTACTGGCAAGAGCCAGCTGATTCTTTATCTAGGGCAATCTCCACAAATATTTGAACAGAAACGAAATGGATCATAAACATAAACAATTAAATGCTGTCACTGGCCCGAGAGTAAACATTATTTAACATTACTTAAATGGAACCGCCCAAACCATATGTTAATATTTTTTGAATATAATTCGGGTCAGTTACGTAATTTGTTTATGTTTATTTATGAACACTTCCTAATTACTGACAAAGACAGAGACAACAGAGGATAAGACAAAGATGACAAAGGAGATAATAATTGAACGTTATTATCTCAAATCCATACAGATTCTATTCTAATATTCTTGACAATCTCTTAAAAAGCCAGAAATTGTAGTCAGAGATGGTCCCGGGTTCGGACAATCAAAAAGCTAATGGTTTTTGACAGGATTAAACCATTAAACCGTCGACCATCTAAATACTAGGATAGCTTCATAACTCTACTCATCTACCAGGTATAGTCGTAAAAAGTCTGTAGTACGAGTAGAATATGAAGAAGCAGACTTTCAATTGTGTTAAACAATAACAAATTAAATACGAATCCAATCCTATTTTGATTTGGCCGACTCTTAATTAGCTACAATTTCGTGTCTAAAAGAACATGTTAAGTAGTGAAAAAGATTGTCCAAATAATTGTCTGATACCAAGACAAAACGAAGACTGTTAAGGAAAGGCAAAAAGTGATTTAGAATAGTCAAAATCCAGCAAAGAATGTGCAGACAAATTTTGCTGTTGTTGTAAAATACCAATACACAATGTCAGAAAAGACAAAGAGCCAAGTTATGAAGGTAGGTTTAGTAAAACCTATTGTAGAGATAGACTTTGTCAATAAGTGGGTTACGTTATTGCAAACAAAATTCTGATAAGACCTTTTAGTTTAAAATTAAGGTTTTAAGATAGCATTGTGAAGGCACTTTAGACTATATATGTATAAAGCGGAAATAAAAATAACAACCACTTAAGCCAGAAGCAGTGTTTAAAACATACCAGTTAATAAAGTCACTTGTCCCGATTACATTGTGGCAATCAAATATTTTGAATTCTTCCTTCTTCCCAACATTCTAGACACTGCAAAACACGAGTGAAACATTTAGGAGAATTATTTAACAGTATTGAAAGCGATCTTTGTTAATTTTTCTGTTTAATTATTTGGATTAGTGTAGTTCTGGGTTGTCACCTAGTCGCCCTAGGAGTTGACTTAGTCACTACCCAGGACAAATCATTAAAATTACAGGCATACTATTGATGTCGTGGTGGCCATTGACGCACTTTTTATATGTTTCGACGGATGTTAGTACATTTTCACTTGCTTAGGTTCACTTCGGATTAACTTACCCCTACATTTTAGGTTGAGTAATTTGGGTAGTACCTTCTATTGCTGAGCGGTTCTTCAAGATTGCATTTAAATTGAAAGAATACTCTATGTATTAGACCAGGCTGACCAACATAGGCCTAGAAACAATCCAGAAAGATCAGGATCCAGCAGGAGGAGCAGGCAAGAGTTGGTGGACCCTAGACTCCTAACCAAAACAGTTAGGAACTGTTCCGGTGTTTTCATCTCTGATATCCTTATTGAACCCCCAGGGAGAGGGAAAGATCTCCAAGATTGCATTTATATCGAAAGAAGACTCCATGTGTTGGACCAGGCTGACCAAAATAGGCCTAGAAACAATCCAGACAGATCAGTATCCAGCAGGAGGGGCAGGCAGAAGTTGGTAGACCCTAGACTCCTAACCAAAACAGTTAGGAACTGTTACGGTGTTTTCAGCTCTGATGTCCGTATTGAATTCCCAAGGAGAGGAAGAGTTCTTCAATATTGCATTTATATCAAAAGTATCCAGCAGGAGGGGCAGGGTGGACCCTAGACTCCTAACCTGAACAGTTAGGAACTGTTCCGGTGTGTTCAGCTCTGATGTCCTTATAGAACCCCCAGGGAGAGGGAGGGTTCTTCAAGATTGCACTTACATTGAAAAAATACTCTATGAGTTGGACCAGGCTGGCCATGTCCTTTTTGAACCCCCAAGGAGAGGGAGGGTTCTCCAAGATTGCATTTATATCGAAAGAAGACTCTATAACCCTAGACTCCTTACCTGAACAGTTAGGAACTGTTCCGGTGTGTTCAGCTCTGATGTCCTTATTGAACCCCCAGGGAGAGGGAGTTATTGAAAGAAGACTCTATGTGTTGGACCAGGCTGACCAACATAGGCCTAGAAACAATCCAGAAAGATCAGTATCAAGCAGGAGGGGCAGGCAGGAGTTGGTGGACCCTAGACTCCTAACCAGAACAACTCCTAACTAAGAACTGTTCCGGTGTGTTCAGCACTGATGTCCTTTTTGAAACCCCAGGGAGAGGGAGTTATCGAAAGAAGACTCTATATGTTGGACCAGGATGACCAACGTAGGCCTAGAAACAATCTAGAAAGATCAGTATCCAGCAGGGCAGGCAGGAGTTAGTGGACCCTAGACTCCTAACCAGAACAGTTAGGAACTGTTCCAGTGTGTTCAGCTCTGATGTCCCCATTGAAGACTTTATAAAGAGAATGTTGGATATACTAGGTGTTCTGTATTTAAGTAATTATTACTATATTTATTACTAGCTGTTTGCCCATTCAACGTATGGGAATGTTGTAGTAAGTTGAAACTTTATATTCAGAACAGGAGTTTGTTTGCATATCTAGTGTGCATTTTTCCAGATATGCTGGCAAAACGATTACTGTATATTAATACATATAAACCTTCGCAAATACAATATCTGACAGTTTCAAAGCCAAAACAAATGCTTTGCAATTAAATGTCACCCGATCGTGTTAGTCCATATTTTATATCTAATGATAAAAGGAATTGCTTTATAGATCTATGAAGCATAGCCCTAAGGTAGGCCTGTAATTGAAAGTTACTTTTCACACTGGTTAAAAGTAGTTAAAATACTACCTCAACCTCACTACTGCACGCTTTATTCGGGTTGAAATTTTCATTAACAAAGGTGCTCTTGTCTTTTCCACGAAACACTGAGAAATAAGGACATTATGCGTTACCAACAGACATACACACACAAATAAAGACTTGAATTAGGGGATTTACTACGCTTTAACCAAAGAAAATTACAAACAAAATAATTATTTTAAAGTTTTGATAGTGTCATCAAATTTTATGATAATCGTTTCTAGGCCTTATCAAACTGTAAAATTGGTGTAAGTGGTGTAAATCCGTTGGCAAATGTATAAATAAGTAAATAAATACACAGTCCACAAAACATTTATACGTTTACAACGCCAAGCTTGTGATGGGTGTAAATTTTATAAGCGAGATATATAAATTAATTTCACTTAAAAAAATATTAACTAAATTATTTGCTGTGCAAAATCGAACATAATAGAATAAACCAGAGAGGACCTAGTCAGGTAGAGTAGTTGCAAAACTAAAGCATTGAGCGCAGCACAATACCACAATCTGTGTTACCGAAATTGGAATTATAGAAACTGGGAGATTTGCCGCTAAGAGCGTTTAGTAAACTAGTTCTGCTCGGCTGGGACGTGCATTGCGCCATATTTTGTTACTCTTTTTATATTATTAAACTTTTACCGTTAAAACCGCTTCTCGGGCTCTCTACCTCTCTTCTAAAGTTCGTCACAAACAATTAAAACTGTATCGACGTCTAACTAAGTAAAAGGTGCTTTTAAAATTACTTATTGACGTGTTCGGTAGACTATAATGTAGGTTCATTGTTATTAAACTCACATTTGTAACTGCACAAACAAACTTTCCGCCCCCCGCATCTTCGTCGCGAATGCCAGGAACCTGTGTCAAGTGCCAACTTTAGTGGATTACTGGATTCCCCACATTAGGTGTTCCCCAAAAGTGTGCAAACTTCCCTAATGTCTACAAATTCAATCTACAAATTGGCTACCCTCTTCCCAAGACCTGTCATCCGCCATCCACCCATGCCTCTACTCTCGTAGCTTTAACTAGTGTTATATGGCAACAAATCCCATATAATCTTGGGAACTAATCCCTTATAATCTTGGGAACTAATCCCAAGAGGGAATCGTTATTGAAACCACTGTGTATTCTATTTGCCTGTAAATAGTGAACATATTATGACTACAGTTCAGTGTTGCCTTATTGTCTGATCCGTAAAGTTAGATTTTATAAGATTCAATTTTTACCACATTTATACATCAGAGTGGGTATTAAGGCTATTATGAGTGAAAGATGGATTTTAAATGGATGAAATCACAGATGTGTTACTGACTAAGATCATCTAGTTCTTTAGTCAGGATTTAAATGTCCAATGAAAATTTTTTCTTATGATTTTTCCAGATGATTCGAACACAGATAAACCAATGTTTACTGGCATTAAGTGAGTAAGTTCTGTGTAAAAAATATTCTACAGAAGCAAATGTTGAGGTGGGAAATAAAGAAGCACATGAAACAAATATGGTTTATTTTACAAATAATACAAAATCTAAAATAGCACCAGTGTGTCATTTTAAAATTAACAAACTGTTAATATAAAAATAACATTGGTGCTTTGATTAAGAAGCGTGCTATTTTACAAAATACTTTCAACAACAAAACATGTAAAAATCAAAATTGACTTGAGATAAAAGTGGAACTAGTGTGAATTGAACAAACATTAAAATGGACGCAATATATGTTCATGCAAAAGGCAAAGGTTATTTTACTTTGTATACTGTTCTTAAATATCTAGAAACTAAACGATTCAATACTTTTTCTGCTTCTACGGACATTATGCTGTTAACATCTGAAATTGACAATAATGCTACAATTATTCTTGATCAAATCACAAACATATTATAATTTAGTAATAAAAACTTAATTTAACATCTATCCTAACTAAGATAATAACTTTTTGAAAAAAATGTTTAGGTATTTTTTTACTATTTACAAACAAAAAATTCCCAGACATGTAACTGAAAATGCATTAACTTTTACTTATAAATTAATATATCTAATTTAAGTACTTGTTTAGTCCCTTGAAGTTTTAATCGGAGGGCTTTTAGCTGTGTTTTAAATATTTCACAGTTATTGATCTATAACTGAAAACATAAAAAGAAAATAACAAACTGTTTGAATTCTTCAACAAAATTAGGTCTTAAGAAATAATTGAATTCATAAAATTAATTACATAATAAATTGACGGAATGATTATTGGAAAAAAGATTATTTCTAAACCCAGCCACTCATTTTATGAAGATATTTAGGTAAAGTGGTTATACATAGCTATTACATGCCTTCAATAGATAACTCAATTGAATTTTATACTAATAAATCAACATGCTTATACTACTAAAGTTATATAATTTGAAACAACATAAAAACTTTTAACTAACAATAACATACAAAATTATAAAACAATACTTAGCAAAAATTAGTAACCAGTCCTAGCTGCCTCAGAACTATATTTAAAAAAGTATAACTTAATGTTATAATTTACAACTGAAATGAAAATTAACAATATTTAATGAGTAATCAACATATTGCAATTACCCTGTTACAAATATTTGTGAACAATCAAATACACAAGTTGAAGTTTAAACATTATAGGTACAAGACTCGTATTACCTAATTCAAAAATGCATTTTATTAATTTTAAAGAACTTTAATTTTTATTTTAATCTTATTTTAATAAACACAATGGTAATACTGATGTAGGCAGACTTCATATAATAAACGTAATACAAAGCTTAAGAGTTGTGTGTAACAAAATATAAAATGATTTGTAAGAATTCAGAACAATATTTAAAGATTTATTTTTAAATACATAAACTAAATAAACATTATGATAATTAAATCTAAATTCCAAAGAATCCATCTTGAAATAAATTGTTCCTAAACTATGTTAAAATGAACGGATATGAGAATTCATAGAATGTAGTAGAGATCTTTAATATTATGGTTCATTCGCATTGGTAGTCTATGTCAATAAATTGAATTATAATCAGTTTATCTTTCCTAAATCAATATTGTACGTTATTACTTCCAGTTTAAATGTTTGGCTAATTATTTAACTATTTTTTGCAGATATAACCATGTAAAATCCTTATTCAATATGAGCTATTAAATGTGGGTTGAACTACTCATTATATCTGATTAATCTTATTTATTTTACTTATTTAATCAGTTTAGTACCCTACCTTAAACGCTGCTAACAAGTTTAAAGCTCTGATTTGTATATTTACACGATAAAAATTCAGCATTCAGATGCCTGTGTGAAGATTAATCACATTTTTAACACTTCCTTATCGAAGAAAAGTTTTAATGCTCTTCTGCTAATATAAGATTTAGCATAACATAGTCTTATGAGGGGATTAAACCGTTGTTGTAGTGTGGGGAAAATTATGTAAGTGTTTGGGGCGAATGTGATATTCAGTGTCTGCCATGCCAAAAAAATGTGTGGAGTCTGGAAAATTTTGGTAAATTATCGATTGTAGGAAACAAAAACTTTGCTCCTCTTCACAGGACAAAAGGCATGAGGTGTAAGGAGCCCCTAATAGCGTAAACTAATGGCGTGCCGCTAAAAATATTGTGGGGAAGAAAGAGGTAAATTAATAAAAAGAACTTATTTCGCCCCAACTCTACTAAAAAAGGCATAGTGTAGAGAAGCCAATAGCGGCCTAAATTAGGCATGTCTCTGTGAAATATGTGGAGTAGCAAGGAATTTAGACGAAATAAGGTACTTAAGGCATCCCCAATCACACATTCGCCCCACCTCCTCTAATAAATGACACTAAGTGTAGAGGAGCTTTAGCGGCCTACAGTGTCTGACGTGCTGCTATCAAATTCGTAGTTTGTCCAGGAATTAAGAGGTTCTAGGATAATTAGTAAGGCCCCCCCAATAACACACTTGCCCCACCTAATCTCAAAACAGACATAAAGTGTAGAGGAGCCTTTAGCGGCCTACAGTGTCTGGCGTGCCGCTACGGAAAGGCGTTGAGTGTCGAAGGAACTTGGAGGGAGTGGCCGGCAGAGGGGAAGCTGCCCGGGACACTATTCCCCCTCTCACCTGGCAAGGGTCATGACGTTGAAGGAAGTGTTCCAGAGTATCCCAGCCTCCTCCGACACGTACCATCATATGTCGCCCTTTGAGCAGCTGCAACAAAAGTTATTTTAATGTCTTGTGAAGTCAAACAATGCAACGCCTGAGAATAAAATTAAAGAAACATATCACCCTTCCGTTAAGGCCATCCTTTCCTAATTTAGAGATGGACAAAATTTTCACTGATTTATATATCCTACAACATGCTTTTTTAGGTACAGGCAATCAAGAGTTCTAAATAGAGGGGTTGACTGATTCAGTAAATATAACCATAGGGATTTTAAGAATTTTTTAAAAGGGATAGATTTAAGCTAGTTTAACTAAGAAAGTTAGAATCCAGGGGCTAATAGTTAATCAATAAAAAGTCACAGATCATAAAACTGGCAATTCAACCTAATAAAAGACAAGGAGGAAAGCAAAGTAGTCATATTCTACAAAGAAGTCTCATTTAGTTACAAAATATCAATGTTGGGTTTTGTGACATTTAATTGTGCATCTATTAACCCCTGGGCCCTTAAATGTCCATGGTAAGATAGCTGAATTCCCTTTTCAAAAATATCCTACTTCGTCACCTGGCTTTCCAGAGAAGGAAGTATTTTTAAGGAGTGTAACAGCTGTGCTTTGGCTAGCATTATGTAAGGGACAAGCATTTAGTAAAGGACAAGTATTTTTTTTCATAATGAAATTACGCAATTTCATAAGTAGTATTAAGAGAAAGGAAAGTTTTTAAATAAGAAAAACAGTTTTGAGCCTAATTTCTGAGGAATGTTTCACATACACTTTCGAGGTGGAAATTTAAGGCTGACCAAAGAATTGCTTGCAAGAGATACAGCTTCCAGAAACATGCAGTTATCAATTTTTAAATTAAATTGATTTTAAAGTAAAATTGTTTACATAATTAACAAATTATATTTAAAAATTTCAAATTTTAGAAATCCTTCGAGACAGATAAATTTATTCATGATTAAGTAGACTTACAGTTATTTCATAAGTTCCTGGATAGTGAAACAGATATAAATAAGCACTTTAATAATAAAGTATACTCAAACACTTTAAGCAAATTAATTGATTTTTTTTATTTTAAATGTACTAGTTTCACCCTGGTGTTACATTATGCAGCTTGACAGCAAATATAATATTTTAAAAAGATCGCTTCCCCTACTTTCTATAAAACCCCCTTTTTTCATATTACTAAGAATATATTTTACATATTTACACCTATGCTACTAGGGAGCACCTTTCTGTTAAATTGTTCTGATACTCATTTAAAATATCAACAGCCAAGTAAATGCACAAATGGCCTTTACTACTAAATATTATTAGTTTCTGGAATTATGTGTATGGCATATAAACTGATAACTTATTGTAAATGGCCAAGGCCAAATATAGTATACCGATGACAAGGTAGTGTCCAAGATACTGTACAGTATATTGTTGAGAAATCAGACCCTGATACTTAAGGTGTGCATAACGTGACAATGTCATATAAGTGACATTAGTGTGGAATGGCCATTATGAAAAGTAAATACATTAAATCCATTGATAAAAATGTTCAAATAAAGGTTAAATGTTTATATTTAAGTCTACCTTAAGTTTTAACTAAAAATTTACATACCCGAACAAATACATTGCGTCCAGCAATGTTATATTTCCCTTCACCGACTTTCTTCACTTTTAGTTTTTCACATTTACCATCGGAACAGTGGCAGTGTTTCTGAGCTACTCTAGTGACGTGTTGCACCTAAAATACCACATTTCTATTAACTTCAGTATAAAAAATACACTACAAACCCTGATTGCTGAAAAAACAATGATCTTCCAAACAACAGGAGACTTAGATACACTTTTCAGAGCTGATTTACAAATCCTTAGTATCAGGAGACCAAGCGTTGGCTCAGTATAGTTTATTTCGATTGTTAAAAGCAATATAAAGGAAACTCGCGTTTTATTTACAACCAATTTTGGCTTTTATTATTTAAAAGTTTCAGTAAAATTTCAATTTATTATGATGGAAATTTTTACCAGGCAATCCACAACACATTGCTAGTGTACTGTAGATGGCTTGTTATAAACATCAAGTCTTTTGTTTTCGTTTTCCTTGTTATTTTGTAAAAGTACCTACCGCTCAAATGTTTTATTTTCTGCCACAGACTAGTTAAAATATGTTTTTATGTACATATAGCAATATATATGTATATATAGCAGTGTTATAAATGTACTTTGACACAATCTATCCGACATTGTCGACCACCGATGAAGGATAGAAGTGTCAAGAAGGTTCAAACTCTATTGAATTACAACTCCAGTTGACCGACATTTATGCATGAAAGTGTCTAGACATAAAAATGTGCTTAATGCATAACAAGGCCAGCAGCAGTTTGATAAGTTTCCATCGAGCCATTAAGTAAATTTGAGGAAATTTTGTTTGCAGATCTCCAGTCTTTACCATAGTCCTTGCTATTCTTACAGTCTGCCATATCTGTCTGACGATACTAAGTAGAATAACTTTAAATAATTACATATGGGCTGTGTAAGAGACCATATTCCTATCAAGCTGTTTCCGAAAATATAGTACGATTTTATCTGTGTACAAGAGCTTTATTTTGTATTGTACCAAGAACTGTAGAAATACCTTGTACTGAAGAATATCCTACCAGATATGGGTTAGCTAAAATTATGCTAGTAAGTAGTTTATTTTGTATTAACATATTTTGTCTGAGGCTATTGAATCCAGTTTAAATTGAGTACAATAACAAGTGTTTCTTTTCACTATACGAGGTATATCCAGAAACCAGATTACGTTTTTGTCTGTTTCCGCAAGGGACGGGGCTGCGTGGCCATCTTGGTGTCAGTTGGTTACGCAGCTCAGTCGGCATCTAGTCGTGCTAGTGACAGGTTTCTGCTGTACTCCGTTGAAAAACTGTGACAGTTTAAAATATCTGTATTGATTGAAAATGCCGCAAACTGTGAAATGCGTGCAGTTATAAGGTTTTTGACCACAAAAAACTGTAAACCGATAGAAATCTATCAGCAACATTGAAAAGTTTTATGGGGAAAAAATTATCTCTGATAGTGGAGTGCGTCATTGAAAAAAAATTTTAAATGGCCGAACTAACGTTCAAGACGAAGAGCGAAGTGGAATACCCAGCATTGTGACTGCTGAAATAGTAGAAAAACCCAATGCCAAAGTCTGTAAAATTCGTAACTTCAAAATGACTGAACTCTCTTTGAGTTTTCCACAAATTTTGCAAAGTTTGTTGCACGGGATCATAACCGAAAAGCTTGGTTACCAACAGTTTTGTGTAAGATGGGTACCGAAAATCTTGATGGAGAAGCACAAAAATTTGCGAATGGCTGTAGCACTAACGTTTCTGGACGCTTACGATAAAAACTGTGACTGATCACATCGTTGCTGGTGACGAAACATGTGAACTGCAAGACAAAATTGCAGTCAATGCAGTGGGGGCAAACAAATTCCCCCAACCCAACAAATGCATGCAAACGATGTCGGCAAGGAATGTGATGGCGACTGTTTTTGGGGATGGGAAGGTATAATTTTTGTGGACTCCTTGGATAGAGGCACTGCAATAAACTCTCAAAGGTATTGATTCACGACAATGCCCGGCCCCAACCGGCAAATATCACTCGCAAAGTTCTTGAATCTTTTAAGTGGGAGTTGTTTCCTCATCCGCCGTACAGTCCCAACCTGGCACCGAGCCACTTTCACTTATTCCCAGCAATGAAGAAGTGTCTGGCTAAGCAGCGTTTTGATGATGACGCACAGCTACAAGAAGAGGTGGCCAAGTGGTTGAAGGTGCAGGCAGCCGAATTCTACGACGAAGGAATTTCTAAGCTTGTTCGTCCCAATGACAAGTGCCTTAATTTGTAAGTAACTATGTTGAAAAGTAGTATTTAAATGTAGCTTTTATTTGTATATAATAAAATATTTCTCCAAGAATTTGTTTATCTTTGATTCCAAAACATAATCTACTTTCTATAGCGGATGGTTGTCATGTGTTCCATTAAAAAAACTAAACTTAGATCTTTCTCCACTGGAGTTCAGAGATGCTCTTGTCATAAGATATGGGAAAACTCCTATACACCTCCCCTGTTCATGTGATGGCTGTAGCAAAACCTTCAGTATGAAACATGCCCTTAACTGTCCCACAGGTGAGTTGATAATAAGAGGACATACAAGTAAGGGATACTCTTGGTAGCTTTATGGAGCTGGCGTGGGGAAACTGTGTACGAGAACAACTGATCTCTGAGCAAGGGTCATTGAATGCTGCAGCAATGAAAGCAGACTTAGCTTGTAGGGGTGTATGGGAGGTTCAGACGGAAGTATTATTCAATGTACAAGTCGTTGACACTGATGCTCCATTGTATTTGGACCTCCCAAACGAAAAAGGTTTGGAGAATGCAAGAAGAGAGACGAAGAGAAAATACTTAACACTAACAGAAACAAGAAATGCCTCTTTCACACCACTAGTTACATCTGTGGACGGAATGCTAGGCAAAGAGTTTCAGACCTTGCTCAGAACCATGGCAGAACGCAATAGTTTAGTGATGAACTGGATAAGGGTAAAAACCATCTGTGCGACTTTAAGGGCCAGCAGCATGTTCTAAAGAGGACAAGTAAGAAGTGGAGGACCCTTAGAGAATTTGAAGATGGGGCTGGAGTACCGGCTTTATATTAATTAAAATAGAAAATGTTTATATTTTACCTATCAAATGAATTTATTGCCTGTCCTTTGAACACCTAAAACCCTTTATGCAAATTTGTTTGCCCAGTGTGGACATACCGTAGATCACAGATATTTAATCACAGCCCATGATTTATACCTGGCGGAAGTGTAACAATGGTTGAATATGTGACTTATACTGAAATGTTACTTCACTGACTTTGGTTCACCGCGTAGACCAGTAGTCTGACAAACAGTTGAAGATTGAAAAAAAGTTCGTCCACATCACCCTAATGGTCTAAGCATGAAGCACTACTGACAGGGTACAATGATTTATCATTTATTTTTGTTTAGCGGTGGTAGTTTTAGTACATTAAAACTAATATACGGTACCATACCTTTCTATCCAAATCTGAAATGTTCTGTTTGACTGGTGTGGTGTTGTGTTCTATTTCCAGATCGGGATCCTCTCCACTTCCTCTGGACCAATCGTCTTCTGTTGTATCACTTGGAACTCCATCACTTGCCCCACCCCCTGGTGCGGACTGTACCTGCAAACAAGTACAGCTTGAGTAAATAAATAATCTCCTATAGGAAACCATTGAACAGCTCTAGGCCGAAATACGAAAAATGCTTTCTTTTTACTGTAAGCCTCACTTTAGGAGAGTGAGGCCTGTAGTTAGAGCAAGTTTTGCAAAGACAGATCTCCTCCATGTATATACTGATGAGAACTGGCACTATCTGTGAGAAATTTACTTCTACTTCTCTTTGAAATATCTCCTTTTGAATGCCTGTTCCTGTTGATTTAGTCATCTAAGATTCGGTAGCATTTTATAATTAATTGATATAAAGGCCCCAAAATTGAATATGAGGTACGTTTGGAAAATAAGTCCTCCAATTTCATGTTGGCTACTGGATTGTTAAAATTAGCACTAATAAGGTTTATGTTACCTGACTTATGTCTACGATCCACGGTAGTTTTAGTAAACTACAGCTGTTTTTGGTGCCTCTATTATTTACACATCATCAGGTTTGTTGAACGCCAGCTTTCTTATAAATCCCTCGGAGTCGAGTTCGTCATGGTTTTACAATGAACATGAAAACACTTACACAAACGGAAACACATAGGAAACATTTAAACATTAATTAAGGGGGGTTGACCAACTACGAAATGTGATAAGGCGTGTTTCCGTTTGTGTAAGTGTCTTCATGTTCATCGTAAAACCATGACAAACTTGACTCCGATTTATAAGAAAGCATGAAACAGCTGTAGTTTCTTAAAACTACCGTGGATCGTAGACAGAAGCCAAGTAACATAAACCTTATTAGTCCAAATAAGTCCTGTTTCCACTAGCCGCAATGGCAGTTTAGCGCTTGAGCGCCAGTTACTCCTTGTCAATTGGAAGGAAATAATACAATATTTAACCCGTTGTTGTTGTCATGCATTTTATAGCGCTTGTTTGTAATGGCTGAGTTAATTGCGAATCCCGATCGGTGATTCCATTTCTCAATGAAAAAAATGTTAAAGCAAATTAACATTAACAGAAAATCTATTTTCTAAGGTTTTGGTAATGGACTAAAACTACTCGTTAGGGTTAGTTAGTTTATCGTATAGGTGTTTGAACAATTAACAGGATGAAAATATAATTTATGTCCTTACAACTAAACAGAGCTTAACTTTTCAAACAAGTTGTTACCTTCTCTGAAACCACTCTCCTTAATTGATCTGCTTCCCCTTCCAGTATTAGACTCCTTCTGTCAACAATCGTCTTGTTCCATCCTGACAACGCTGATGCAGAACTAGACACAACAAAACTGTTAGTTGTAGAATCTTTTAATTTATAGAATCTTTTAAATTATAGAATCTTTTAGGATTGTTTCCAGGTATAAAATTTAAAAACTCTTCCTCAGTTAGTGAGTTCTTGAAATGTTTACGATACACCTACTTCATACGAGACAAATTTTTTAAGTAAGTACAGGTTTACTACACCGCGGCCGCAGCACTGTGGCCGGCATTCTTTGCATTGGTACCTACATCTATTCCCTACGCACTAAAGTCATTACAGTCTGATTCTTCCAGGTTTACGTTGTATACTGAGTGTTAAAGATGCCTCTGATAATTTTGAGTCCCGCTGGCTGTTATGAAATTTCTTAGTGCTAAAAGCTTAAAAGCGATTGATATGCATCGTGAGAATAGCTGGTTTTGTCATTCAAAAGTATCAACTCAAATGTGTTGAAATTATTGGGTTGCGTCAAATCCTCCTCTAATAAAAGGCTGCGACGAGTCAAAAGTGATAACACCGTTAAACCGAAACAGCTATCTGCTGTTGCACTAATTTACAATGGACAGTATAGGAAATTTTTAAGTTTACACTTTTGTTATTTCTGTTTACCACGGCAATAGGCATGACGTTGTGACACACCAATGTTTTTGAGCTAGAGGAGGCTATGGTTGTGTTTCGTTAGTTTTCGTTTTATTCTTTGTCGAAGGAGCCGTAACTCCCAGACGACTACCCGGTACCTAGTTGCCCTTAACCTGGGACCCATGGCTTAGGCCGGAGCCTATGCACCAACCCTGAGCACACCATGGGTGGATGGCTTAAGGCCATCAAGCTCACCGGCTGCCGAAGCAACCCTTCGGAAAGAGGGTTGCCCCTCAATCCTAACCAGGGATACCGGCTACTTTATTCGCACGTCCACCCCAATTGGGTTCCACCAAGGCCAAAGCCCTTGGACCATAGAGGAATGCCCTGAACGCATCACAGTGCAAAAAACACTCGGGACCTGTGTAATCCCTGACAGGCCGAAACCCGCCAGCAAAGCCAGGAGGAAGGGGGCTGCCAGTGTGCTGACAGGGGAACCCCAACCACCCATTTCCACCACTACCCGATCGAGGCCATCCCATTGCTGGGAAACCAGGGATAACCAGGACGATAGATCCCCAGATACCCCTAGCGAGCTTGATCCCAACATCTGATCTACTTCGTTTGCCCATCAAGCCCAACATCACAGCCAGGCCCTCAGGGTTTCCCAAAAGGAGGCAGGTTTAGAAGTGGGACCCACCCGGATGAACCTATCCACCAAAGGTGGCGACACCCTTAACTCAATTGAGGTTCCAGGGAGAACCCCCCACACCCTATATAACCATACCTCCCGGGCTGAGAGACAGGGATTGGCTGATGGAGTGCGCCTAGCCGTTGCCCTCACACTGCGGAAAGTTCCGTTCCCCTAGAGTGACCTGTGAGCTTACGTGTACTCGCCCAATTTCACCTCCAGGAAAGGCTACTTCTAAAGTCGAGGATTTGCCACACATAATGTCGGTTGCATACAACAAGCCGGCCGAAGCCCAAAGAATCACAGCCACAGGCAGATGAGAGATTGATGGCGCACTTCCACCTCTCTGAGAGCTGAACATCCCACCAACCTGGATGGAGGAATGCCACTGGGTACTCTCTAAGTAATTGTTTTGCAGTCCTGCAGAACAACCCCCGCAGTGTGGTCCTCCTGCGGGGCTTGCTTGTCCAGTCGTCCATAACTGTGATCTACTTGAAGTACCGATTCCGACACCGAGCAGTTACCTCCCCTTCGGGATAAAATAACACCCTGTAGCTTTGAGAAAACTGTTTCTGCCTTGCAAGTATACATACATATTTTAATCCGCTCCGGTTATCCTCGGCCAGTGCTAGTGGCTCATAGTAAAGAAAACAGGGATACCACCACATGAGCTTGTTTCCTGACACAAAGTGTCTTACGGGACTTGTAATTTGGGTTGCGTATAAAAAAAAACACCCTTTAGTTTTAGTAATCAAACAGATCACTCCTGTGATAAGCAAACCAGACCTGCTGTGCCTGATGACCTTGGGTGTAGGTGTAGGCTGGAACTGCCAGGAGATGATAGAGCCGTGGGATATGCCAGAGTCATGTGATTCTTCTTCTGCAATCTCCTTCTCAAGAGCGACAAGTCCTGGAGGCTCCATGTTGAATCTGGATGCTATCCTTGCCACCTCCATGAGACAGAGGACCACACTGCGGGGGTTGTTCTGCAGGACTGCAAAACAATTACTTTTGTTAATGTCATTGGTTTTACAAACTGTATTCTCTTGTTATTAGCAAATTCTCATGTCATCGATGTCATTTACTCTCTAAACAGACTTACATTCAGGAAGTTGTAGGATTATGGAAAGAGTCAGATTACCAAAAGTAATAATGTCTTAATGTACCTACTCCTTGACCATATGATGTACATCTTTCTCGATCACGGCAAAATCCTTTTGTCTAGGGAGGGGGGTTACAGCCCCCAAATGCCCCCCTTTGGCTACACCACTGGGTTGAGTAGTAATTGATTCTGCTCATTTCTTATAATAAATAAATGTAGATGGCACGTCATGTCATTTGCTCACGGATTCACTTATTTCGGCAAGCTTATTCAAATATGCAGTGGCACGTGTACTGGAGGGTTAATATGTGAGAACAGTCTTAGTGATAACTGCCAGAGAAGCCATTCTTCAACTTATGAATGTTTATGGAAGTTTGATAAATTGATTTCATAACAAACCCAAATCATCGCTTTCAAACAGTAGATTCTGGTGAACTCCGAGTTGTCTGCAGAACTGAATGAACTTGTCCATGTTATCTCTGGAGAAGAAACTGCGCCTTGCTGCGTTTTCAAAACATCGACCTTTTATTACTGGTGGAGTCTGAAACATACCATTGATTTAGTCACAATTAATGTATTATGTAGCATCATCTATATATTAATAGGAAAGCACGTTTCTTTAAAACCTTTTTTCTCAGCTCGTGAGCAGCGCAGGGAAAATATACGCATACTGTTGGAAAGATATTTTCCTATAGATGAGCAGAATCCCTTTATAAATTAAAATAGGCTCAAAAATAAGCACAAAAATGATTTTGAAATTAAACAAATATTATCCTCTTGAACGCGGATACGTGTCCGTGTAGTAGCCTCGCTGGGAACCCACGGGCTCGTATACGCCCCCGTACCTTAAAATGCTAATATAGTACCGGTAGCATTAAAATATAAAAAATAGCATTAAAATGTTTAAATGAATTAGGTTTTGGAATAACATCACCTTCTGGTCCGCGTGCAGTTTGAATTTGCCGCGCTAACTACGACTGCAGGAAGAATAATAAAATGCCGTGTTTGGCACCATTCTATTCGGGGGAAAACGCTGATTCTTGTGGTATATTTCGTTTTGCGCTAGCTTGACATGCATCACTGCTGTTATGTTAAGAAGTTTGAACTGGCTGACGTTTGTTGTGTGTTGTGCAATTACGTATGCTGCTATAGTTTGTTTGAAAACAATGAATAATCGTGTCGGAACGTCGTGTTCTCTTCAAGATAATGAAATTAGTTAATACTTAGATAATGAAAGATTGTGTGATATATCGGGAGTGGATTATTACGACGATTTCGATGACAATATTAGTGTTCAGTGTAGTGATGGTGATGAAGGGTTAGGCCTAACAGTGTATGATGTTGGTATAACCAGTTTCCCAGGTAAGTGGTGATTATATTTCACATGATGACACAACAAATATTGATAGTACATGTATTATATGTTTCTATGTAGGGAAATAAATTCTCTACAAAATGTATATGAGTAAGAGTTTTATTTGAATAAAATATTTTTTATGATAGTTTAGTTTGAAACATTTTGTAAAAATGTTACAAATTTTCACTTTTTTTACCCATAACTTTTTTTATTCAATATTTTATAAATTTATTTTGTTATTTTATTGCTCTTCAGTTTGTTCTGAAAAAAATATATATTTATATATGTTATCTTAGTTTTTAATTTTTTTAAATTAAAAAAAAACATACCCGGGCTGGGGAAAGTAGCATGACCTAGCTTACTCGGGAGTCAATAGGTTAACATGGACCTTATGGGTTGCTCTGCTGGAGACGGGATAGCAACACAATATAAACAGAAAATCAAAACAAATGGAAATAATTACAATCATATGTTTTACTTACAGTATTAGTCCAGGAGCAAACTGCACATATCCAGCTTCCGTGGGATTTTTTGTGAAGCAAATGTGTGACTATGTGGAATCTCTTTATTATATGTCACATAATGGTGTAGTACCGGGTGTTTACCCTCAAATTGCGGGGTTTGGTTTTTATGACGTCGTAAATCCAAGATGGCCGCCATGTGTGACATCTATTCACTAAATTCATAGTAACTCTTTTCAGAGTAAAATAATCGAATTTTAATTTACACCATTGAATTCAGCTCAAAAAATCAAACAATTTGGTGTTTTGAATCATTGCTCTATGACCATTGATTACCGAGATATTGAAGGCGGAAAACACAGAACATTGTCGCCATGTTATCCTTATAGGGAAAAAAATAAAATTGTATATCTAGCTTATTACTCAGCATATCTTAATAATAATTGGTATGTGGCTTCATTTGGTAGAGATCTACTTGAATATGGCCTAAAATCCCCCATTTTTACATTTCCGTGGCAGCAAACCTGCATACTAACTTCCAATGTTATTCTTATAGACAATTTTTTGCATGCTTGTTCATGAACATACTTTGAGAAATGATGATGTGTGGCTCCATTTTAATTATTTATTGAAGCATTTGTAATTCGTTGAGTATACAGGTCTGCTGCTACGGGTAGGTCTGCTATAAACAAATTATAGGTATTAGAAAATAAAATAAATTAGACTATAGTTGTGAGGCATATGTAATTTTGTAGGATTTTGAATTAAGCAATTGTATGATTGTTGGCGATTGATAGGTAATGACATGTAGAACCGTGTACTACCGAGTATTTTGTCTGAAAATGTGGCCAAGCTGGTGTTTTCGGTCGCCATCTTGGATTCGCCATATTGGATGTTAATAACTTTTTTATACAATGCTAGTGTTGTGACACATCATTATGAACTAAATTTTCACGCTGATTTCAATGCTGAAATATGTTTTTAAATATATTTTTTCGTTTTGAATATTCAAATAAAAACTATGATTGGTGGTGATAGATAGGTAGTGACATAGAATCGTGTACTACCGGGTGTTTTGTCTGAAAGTGTGACTAAGCTGGTGTTTTTGGCCCGCCGTCTTGGATCTACCATATTGGACATTAATATAATTTTTTAAATGTAATGCTGGTGTTGTGACTCATCATTATAAACTATAGATGTTTACGCTAATTTCAATTCCGAAAACCGTTTGTAAATATCGTCTTTCGTTTCGAAAATATATTGAAATGAAAACTCCCCCCCCCCATACATCTTTTACGGACGTTTCGTACTTTGATTATTTTTCTCATATATCCAGTTCTTATTATCGCTTGCAATTCGTTATAGTATTCAGTAATGTAAGGGCTTTTATTTAAGCTATCGATCATTAAAATCGGACGAGTTAGAGTTGAGCTATGAACCACAACACAATATTAAATCTAACTTTTTCCAAATCAGTTTTATGAAAAGATTTATATCTCGGTTTGTTAATACGACAAAAGGTTCATTCTAGTCTTAAATTACTCAGTAAATGTCTGGTTTAAAATGTTATTAAACACTAAATGAAATCTGACTAATTGAAAATGAGTCATGGGCCTTTATTTAACATTAATAATTATTTTTATTTAGAAATTTTTCTTTGGTTAAAGCAATTAAAGACATACCATACAGGGCTGGTCATCAGGGTTACAACATTTGTTTGGTGTAAGTACAAAGTAAATGATGTGTGATGAGGCATATAAGACTAAAAGGTGCCACGTCTAAAAATTGTAACACTGATGACTAGCCCTGTATGTCTTTAACCAAAGAAAGTTTTGGACATAAAAATAATTTAATGTTAAATGATGGTTAATGACTCATTTTAAAATAACTTGGTCAGATTTCATTTAGTGATTAATAAAATGTTAAATCAAACATTAACCAAGTAATTTGAGACCAGGAAGAACTTAGTGACGTACTAATAACCCGAGATATACATCTTTTAATAACAACAGAACTTTTTTTCTTTTTTTTCTGAACTCCTGCATCAATCTTTGCATATTTCCAAACTTTCTATTTATTGCATTGTTATTTATTTTTGTTAATATAGTATATCCTGTTGTAGTATTGCATTGTTGAGCGGAGCGAGCGAAGCGAGCGAAGCTCTTATACTACACTCCTGCTTTTTTATTACAAATACTCCTCCTGAACGGCAGAAGCGATCTTCACGAAATTTAACACAGTCATAGTACCCCACCATGGGAAGGTATAAATCTGAAATGGTACAAATCGGACCATAGGAATATTCCCTACATGAATGCAAACTTTTAGAAATTTAACATGGGCCTTATGGGTTAATTGGTTGCCATGACATTATTTGCGAGTAAACAATAAAAAGTAAACAAGAGCCTCGACATATGTTAGTCAACAAATCTACCACATTATAAATACAGTACAAAAGAAAAAATCTGATGAATACTAAAGAGCATATTAGTTAATTGCATGTAATACGAAGTGATTAACAATCAGTTATATATTGAGTGATTAAAATCATGACGTTTATATTTAATTGTATAATCGTTCTGTTCTTTTTAACAATGAATAGTCAACTAATTAGGCCTAGGCCTATGTAGCGTGGAGAAGGAGAAGTTAAAACGAGGACATTAAAAAACACTATAACATAATTATACCGACAAAAATCACACTGCTCTTGATTTGCAAGTAAATTTGTAAAAAAATGTACCTGTAGCTAAAAATACAAAATAATTTTACGAAATGAAATCACAACCACTTGGTTTACAGATAAGGTTTACAACTAAATGGTGTAACTTAGACAATAAAATCCCAAAGGATTAACACTAATATTGCTTATTCATTGTGACCCTTGGTTGGAAATATAATTGATAAAATGGAAGAATTACCTTATCCAACCACAGTTGCTAGTATGACAACTAGTTTCGTTCCTTAGAACATCGTCAGGTCATTGTATGCAACCACATCTTCAATGTATGTATGTACATTGTGGTATGTCAAAAGATTCTTTAAAAACACTGTCAGAATCACAATAGTAAAAACTAGTCATGTTGATCAAACTATTAAAATTGAATAAAAAGTGATAAAACTGGTTAAAACTGTAAAGGCTGGCCAGCACTCTCTTTATCACTGTCACTGACTAAATAAAACTGACTGAATCATGAGGTGTCTTCATCTTCATCTCTCCAGTGCCACCTGTATTTCAGTTTGTTTTGTTCTTCTTATTTGGATACTTCTTTGATTTGTAGCTTGTCAATATATGTATCAAATATAATATTTGACTGGAAGGAAGTCTGATCATTTAAAATGTTGAATGGGTCGAGTTTTTTAGCTTTGTAGATGGTGAATTCTTCTTTGACATCAAGTTTAAAACTTTTTGGTAATACTTCAACTATTTCCATGTTCTTGTCAATAGATGTGTAGTTGTGTGATTCTGATATTAAATGTTCGGCATAACTGGATAGCTGATATTGTGATCTTTTAGGTATATGTTCTTTAAATCTTTGTTTGAAAGATCTTCCAGTTTGGCCGATGTAGTACTTTGGACAGTCGTCACAGTTAATTCTATAAATGCCTGATTTTTCATAGTTGTTTGTGGCAACAGGCTTGGCGTGGAAAAACTTTTGGAGTGTATTGTTTACGGAATGTGCGACAGTCGTATTGTTTCTATTAAATATTTTGGTGATGGCGTTG